TATAATCGGAAAAACTAGAGGGATTTGACTTTTTCGGAAGAGGAAATACAAATGCGTCTTTCCAAGCTGAAGGGAAAAAAGCAGAATTCAGTGATTTATTCAGGATAGACGTGATTATAGGTAAAAGGAGATCAATGAGAGGGTGACCATTTTCCGACTAATGCAGTCACTACCAATCGAATTTGAATGGATAGACATTATGGCTCTCTTAACATCACATCTGTTAAATTGGCTAAAATTAAAAGCAGGGGTGTCCGGAGTGGGAGCTTTTGAAAGAGAATCTAAAGTATTATGTTTTGCTTTATCATTAATGCAAGACGAAGATGAGAAATGCAAATTAAGTTGATTGAGATCAAGGTTATGGTGTGTGAGATTTTGTCGGAATTTCCCAACTCCTAAGGATTTAAGAAATTTCCAGACCCTAGCAGGATCAGGATCTTGTACTGATTCATGGATATGGCGTCGTTGTGCTTTTCTACACAGATTGTTGCAACGATTCCGTACTAATCTATACTTCTCTCTATTCAAATCGCTAGGGACTGACTTGTATTTAGCTTTGGCACAATTTTTAATGTGGATGATTTTTTTTATATCATCGGTCAGCCAAGGAGAGGGAGGATGCTTTACACGCACTGGTCGAACAGGAGCATGAACGTCGTAAAGCTGAATTAACAGAGAGTTGAACAAAGCAACCTGTTCATCAACAGTAGACGCATTGACGACTACACTCCAATCCAAGTCACTAAAGTTACGCTGAAGTAGTATCCTTGACTTAGCTTTAGGGGGACGGATTTTGTATGACAAGTATAAAAGGTCGTGATAGGAAAAAGAATCAGCAGCATGTTGCCCAAATTTAAGAACATGGTCAGGTAAAGACACAAACATTATGTCGAGAAGAGAAGGGGCACAGTTCGGGAAAAAGTGTGTGGCAGAAGTAGGAAGAAGTTTTAAATTTGCTGCTTCAATAATAGATTTAAGTTTTATTGATCTAGCGTTGTTTTTTAAAAGACAGGTATTAAAATCACCCATAATAATACTGTGACAATAGATAGGTGTAAGATTGTCAAGAATATTTTCTAACGTGGTGAAGTAGTCGACAGTGAGAGAGGGACTGTAAAAAACTCCAAGAAGTAATTTTGTATGACCAAGAAGAACTTCGATAAAGAGAAATTCAGCTTCGTTTCCAGTCTGCGAACCATTTTAAACTTGAATTATTGAAAAAGGTATATGTGAGCGCAGATAAATAGCAACACCACCACCGCCCCGATCGGTACAGTCGTTACGAATCAAATGAAAACCTGGAAGCGAGTAGGAAGTTGATGGAAGACATGGTTTTAACCACGACTCCGAAACAAGGATAGCGTGTATGTTTTTGCTATTAAAACTTGACAACAGGTCGGGGTAATGAACAGGAATACTTTGAGCATTTATGTGAATAGCGTTAAAGTTTTTGTTAGATTCAGAAAAAGTTGAATCTAACATAATATTTAAGGGTTCAATACTTTCAAAGCTGTCAATACTGCTTAATCCATCAGAGGCAGAATCAAAGGCGAAGGAATTGGAACTCCGAACACTATCATCTGAAGAAATCATATTAAAAATGTAAAACTAAGTAAATATGTATTATTATATGTATGTATTATAATATATATAATTATAAAATAAATAATTCAAAAATAAATAAGTCATCAGTAAACTACCTGCCAGCATTATGGAAAGAAATGTTTAATTCACTTAACAATAAGTGAAGAAACGGAACGTTAACATACCATAGACACAAAAGTGAGAGGTGTTAATGTAAGATGAGTCAAAGTGTCAAAGTTACAGTACGATAACTAGCAATTATCTACCTTACAATATACTTTTATCACTAATACTAAACATTCCAAAGAAAGATTACAATAACAATTACCAATATAAAAGAAAAATTATAACACTAAACATTCCAAAGAGAGATTATTAATCATTACATTTTACTATCTAATCTACAATTAACAAGGAAAAGAAGATATAATGATAAAAAAAACTAAAATATGAAGTCCAGAGAAAAGTTATAACAGAATTACAAAATTTAATAAAATATAAAATAAAATTATTTACGAAAAAGTTCATTTTTTTACCGGCCCTCTTAGTACGCTGTGGTGCACCTTTATCTTCAGGGGCCTTATTTGCCTCAACCACAATAGGATAAACGGGTGAAGCAGAAGTTGACCCGTTGCATAATGCGTCAAGCTCAGACAAGGTCTCAAGTTGGTGCCTTGTGCCATCTGGAGTAAAGATATTGATAACTCCATCCCTGGTCCAACATTTGGTGATGCCATACCTTCGCCTAGCTTCTAGAAAAACACTGTGGCGCCTCCTTGTTAGAAACTCAGACTGGGTTATACCTGTGCCCTTAAGTTTGGTTTTGGCGTACCAAACCTTGTCTCGCATCACAGTATCGCTGAATTTGACAACTACAGGCCTGGAAGATTTATCAGAAGGGCGTCCCAGACGATGACAACGGCTTATGGATGTTTTACTGAAACCTGGAACTAGGAGTTTAGTGCTGATAAGTGTACTTATGACGGCGGTAGTATCCTCTGATTTTTCTTCATTAACTCCATGGAGTAGGATCATCTTTCTGCGGCGACGCATTTCACTACGATCCAGTTCTCTTCCCAAAAGATCTACTTGGTTATGCAAAGATGTTAAAGCAGCCAAGATGAATTTTCTAAAAGCATTAAAATCACCTGGTAGAGAAGATGAAGTTGTGGCAGCAGAACTAGATTGTTGCAGTTCCCGCTGAAAGTTATCCATTTGACTTTGGAATGACTTTGACATCTCCATAAGTGAACCTGTCAGTGCTTCCATGGTGAAAGTAGTTGTAAAGTGCAGTGATGTTAGAGAAAATACTTGGAAATAAGAGCTGGTAGGTAGTAATTTATTACATATAAATAATAAACATGAAATTCAAACTGTAACTATTTTTAAAATGTTCTTATTTATATTTTTAAAATGTTCAATCTTTTTATTTATAGTACCAACCAAAGATATATGTTTTGAAAGCAAGATCATAGCGAGAGGTACAGATGTGGAAAAATTGCCCATAGTCACATTTCTCCTTTATCCAGAAATGGTCCCGTAAGATGCATGACGACGCGATCAAGTTTCCAGGCTGTCATAAATTTCTCTCTCTTACTTGCCTTTCTGCATAGGCAGTAGGTCTTCCAGGTTGTTCAGCCACAACATTACGACTTCCTCGGCGATCTGCCACCTCTGAGCTATTTTCAAGTATAGATTTCCACAATATTCTACCTGGTGACATTATATTATTATGAGACGTATTTCCATAAAACGATGTTGGACACCACGCACTCGTCGTCGCCGAGACGATCTTCCTCTAGTTTGATGTTCAATGGCAGTCAATGGTGTGATGCTGTCTGAATCATCACTAGAACTTGACTCAGGAACTTAGGAATATATGAATCACTATCTTTAACTCCTGGTGGTAATGGTTACACCTTCACCATCACTATCCAATTGATTTTCTAGCAACAATTGCAATAATATCAATATTTCTGTTTCATGTATAAACTTAGACATTTTAAAGAAATATTAACCAAAATAATGAAATTGACTCAATGAGAATATGTAAAGTTATGAATGTATAAACTAAAATATTTAGGTATGTGAAACAATATCAGTAAATAAAATTAAATTGAATACAATTATCCTATTCACAAAAACATTCATTCATCTTTTAAACTGGTCAAATGACCCTGGTTGTCTTGTATAAGAACGCTATTCTTATTCATATTTGTATGAATATATTGGGTCCTTACATATGAAATTAGCGTTATATCGTACTGACCACTTTGATCTGAAATATCCCCATCCATAATTTGGTTAAGAATTCCAAATTCAAATTTATAATTTCATTTAGCTAGTACATTTGAGTTTTGAAAAGATCACTTATTACCGCACAATGGAAAACATGAAATATCGGTATATTTACGAGTACGAGTTCTACCGTAGCACCAGTGCTGCAGAAACAGCTCGAAGGATTAATGATGTGTACGGCGCTGGTGTCGCAAAAGAAAACACGGTACGTTTTTGGTTTCAACGTTTTCGTTCTGGAAATTTACGATCTTCAGAACCAACCCCGTGGACGGCCGGAGAATAAAGTGGAAAATGAAGAATTACTGGCTATTGCGGAAGCCATTACAAAGCACTTCAGAGATAGCTGCAGGCTTCGGGGTAAGTGAGTAAGTTCGGGGTACTTGTGTTTGGTGGACTAGCGCCGCTGTCGTTCACTACGGCTTTCTAAAATCTGGCCAAACGTTTACGGCAGATATCTATTGTCAATCTATTGTAAACAACCGAGATTAGTCAATCGCTCTAGGTCACTGCTGCTGCACACAATAAAAAACAACAAACAATCACACTAAGTTAGATGAGCTACAATTGAAATGTCTGCGACATCCACCGTACTCCCCGGACCTTGCTCCAACAGATTACCATTTTTTCCGGAATTTGGACAACTTCTTACAAGGAAAAAATTCAATTCCGATGCGGCAGTCCAAACCGCCTTCAAAGAGTTTATTGATTCTCGCCCTTTTTTTTAGTTAAGGGATCAATGAACTACCTATGAAATGGCAAAAGTGCATAGATAACAATGGTGCATACTTTGAATAATTAAATATATTTTACAAATAAAATTGACTTTATATTCCTCCCGTACAAAACGCCAATTTGATATGTAAGGACCTATTACTACAATATAAATACATTTGTTTATAAAATAATGGTAAGTCATTAATAGTCACGAGGTATAAAACTGTATAAACAAATATATAGTGATAAAATAGTCAGCGATACAAATTCAAATTCGGGTCAAATGACCTCTGCCGCCTTGCTAGTATTAAATGCCTCATTTAAATGTAAATTCTTTCAAATTTACGATTTTTGCATAACAAATCTTCCAATGTATTATTAGTTTATATTTAAATAGTATTTACCCTATAACATGAAACAAAGGACAGGTGTTTTAATTGTCTGCAACCATAAATAAGTGGATTCCAATTCTTCGTATGCATTCCAACTACCTGCAATGTAACATTTAATTTTTTGATTAAAAATAACTTTGGAACAAATTTCTTACATTATTTTATAAAAATGATGTTCGCTTGATTGTTTATAACATAAAACCTCGATTATTAATGGATGTCAACCAAACAGCAAGGGCATAGCAACTTTTTCCAGCCTACCCTTTTTGAAGCACTGCTAGGCAGTATTGAAATCTTTCTCCAATGGGGTTGAAAACACTGAGTGTTCAAAAGGGTGGAAGGAAATCACACTAGATTTCCATATGTGTCACGCTGGTGCTGCAAGCTGCCGTGCTTGATCTTTTATATTGGCTTACTTAACTGAGTACACAAACATTTAAAATTACATTTGGATGCAATCATCATCATCATCATTAAACTCCTTCACAAGTTCACTGCTGAACATAGGCCTCATCCAAGGTATGCCACAAAGCATGGTCCTGAGCCACGTGCATCCATTGACTTCCTGAATTTCTTACCAGGTCATCATTCTATCCAGTGGGGGGATTGCCTTACACTTCGCCTGTACGACGCTGCCACTAGAGAACCTTTTTCCCCATCGGTTATCGGTTCTTTGAGCTAAATGGCCGACCCACTGCCACTTCAGCTTAATAATCCATTTGACCATGTCGCTCACTCATAGCCCTCTTCATAGCTCGCTGAGCGACCTTGAGCTTCCTCATACGGTCAGCAGTCAAGGACCATGTCTCAAAACCATAAGTCATCACTGTCAACACGCATTAGTTGTACAGTCTCGTGAAGACGTAAGAAGATGTGTCATAATTTTTCGAACGCTACCCAGACAATTTGAATCCGTGGATTGACTTCTCGGTCGAAGTTGGACTTACCTAGACGGACTAGGTGGCACCGTTCGAGATAAGTCCAACTTCAACTTCTAGTAAGCATACTCATCAGCGACTTCTAGCTTAGTGCTCCCAACAACTACCGGCATAGATGTGACATTAATGTTACATATGATCTTTGTCCATGTTCATCTTAAGACCTATCCATTGGGAGTCACTATTGAAGTCATTTAGCATAGTGTTTAGGTCTTTCAGTCTTCCAATCTTCCAGTCTTCCAATGCAGCGTTGAACTTCGGGGATATAACATCACCCTGTCTTACACCTCTCTGAAGTTGGATAGGTTATGTATGAAACCTCTGAGTATGAACTCTGGTTCTGTACTCGGACACCCTACACACATACATACGTATGTGGTCTATGGTGCTTTTGGAAAACGAAAAACGGGGAGCGGCCCAAATCGTCAATGATCAATTCCAAGATTAAAAAAATTCTTTTTGATCAACTTGGTCCATTGGCCTTGCGAAGAGACGTTGCATGTCTATGCATGTTCTACCGCATATACCACGGCAATTAGTCACAAAAATTGTTCAGATTAATTCCAGGTGCTGAATTCCACCATCAACCATTGTGGCAGAGTTCAAATTTCCATGTTCATCAATCTTGTAATATAGGAAAGGTTTTAATGAAAGAGGATGTGTTACTTGTTCTATATCTTTTATTATACTGCTTAATTATTCTACATTAACCCTAATATATATTGACGTGGGGGCTACACTACACTACAACTCCCGCCGACAAAATAATAAAATTGATGATGGTTCACTACTGTGATTTACACGAAATTTTCTACCCCGCACGACTAAACTGAGGAATTTACTGAAGCCAACGGTTTTTCCGGACCAATACGTGGTAGAGCCATGCTGCAGTTATATTAGTAGTGTTTTAGCACGTATGGGTCGGCTTGACCGGGGAAGGTCTACGCTCTCACAGAATACCAGCATAAAATAGCAGCTTGATGCAGCTGTGTTTCCTATGGTGAGTGTAGAGCCGGAGACCCCTCTTACTGGTAACGAGGCATTCCATCTTGGTCCTCACGGGTGACAACGCATTTGCATTTTGATTCGTAACCAAGGATAGATGTAGATGTCTAGGGGCCACAGCAACCACTTACCATCAGGTGGACTGTGTGCTCGTTTGCCACCCTATATTATAATATATATAATTTTTTTATAAAAAAATACGACTTAAGGACCTTCAAGAAAAGCCTACTCCTTCCTAAAAAGCAGGCAACGCACCTATAATTCCCGTGTTGTTCCAGATGTTCATAGGCGACAGTGATCACTTATCATCAGATGAGCCAAATACTCATTTGCCTCCTTTTTCATAAAAATAAATACAGAAATATACAATATGGGTGATTGCTATCAGGCTATATCTAAATTGTACACTGTTCATTTTTCAAAAAAAGTCTTGCAGGGTTATTTGCTGGTTTTTTCCAGGTAGTATACATATATCCAAAGTACCTCTGAATTTCCAAACCAGTGATAAATTATAAGGGTAGTAACCCTTCAATAAGTATGTTTTATAATTTACATTGAATAAGGAAGTTTCTATTTCTATACCTTTAACTCCACAAGGTTTGGACAGAACATGCCTACAGTGTGTGCTGTGCGATCATTGAGTGCGGTCCAGTTGTGGTCAATATGAAGCCGAGTTATAGAACCGCCTACTTTCTGCAACACTCGCCGAGGCACAGCAGTTGTTAAAACGACTGACACATGTTGCCACCACGAGGTTTTGAAGATGCGTAGGCCTAGGAAAATAGAAAAAGTAAAATACCAGCCTTTACTCGTTCCACTGTTCATATAGATATGCTACAGATGACCATTATGATTAAACAAAAAGTAAGCGCCGGCCGTAACTAAGTGATAAAACTGATGCACAATCACTTAATTGAAATCGGTACTATTGTCGCGTACTTTACAGGTACCCACACACATACGCTGTTCTCAATTGTGAACAACATTGTGTATTACAATACAGTTCATTGTGTAAATAATAACATTGTGCAAATGTAACCCATTATTCAGGCAAAATAAGATCAATCTTCAGTCAATTTTCATCTATAAAAACATATATTAATTTATAAAATAAAATTGATCGGAAGCTAGAAAGAAAACTATGAACCAGTGGTAAATGAAAAAAGTGACTTTCAATAAGTATTGTTATAATCTACATTGAATAAAAAAGTTTCTGTTTCTGTTTCTGACCAGTTCAGACCACAGTCAGACCAGTTCTCTTCTCCTTTTTGTTTATATCAAAAGTGGCAAGTGTTGGCAATACTAAAGATTTGTGTATTGGTGCGTACGGCACGTGTCAAAGTGTGAGGCTATCAGTAAATAATGCGGGTACGGCGCGTAAGGCGCGTACTGTACTGACAAATGTGCGTTTGCCTTAAGGTGAACTTATTTGTTACGCAAAAGATACTGTGTGATCAACACAGTGTCACTATCATTGATTTAAATAAAAAAATTTCAGTTATTGTATATGAATATACATAAAGCAATGATTTTTAACTTTTTAATTTATCCTCTTTTAGCAATACATAAAGTTTTAATTTTCCATTTTTATTTTTTTATTAATATTTCAGAAACAAACTATCTCAACAATTATTCCTAAGAAGCACAGCCTTGGTGACAGGAAAAGTAGTGGAACTAGTTATGCTATGAGAGAGGTCTTCACATTATCATATTTTCTATATTGGAGTCTTATAAATGAAAATGACTTGAATTTTAAATGCTATTTTTATAAAATAAAGGAAACATACCGTGAAGAAATTCTTGGATTAGTTGTTGCCATCTCTTGCTAACTCTTTCTGAACGAATGAGGTCTCTTATAGGTACATAACTGAGAACATGATTCAAGCAATCTCTGTTAAGTACATCCAATATGTTGAAGTCTGAATCAGTTTCAGAGGAGCCCTGTTGTTGCTCATCCTGTGAAACACCACATTCCTTTGAACAATATTAAATTAGCATTCTAAAGAATATTATGTGAATATTCTAGGAAATAAACTCACTGCTAGTGCGTTTGAATCGTCTCTATCCTTTTCTGTATTAGAAGGTGGGTCTGGTTTAGGAACATCTGAAAAAGAAATTAGTGTAAATATAAGTATAAATGTTAGTTTTTAATTATTTATTTAATATTAGAGTTAGCAAGAGCTATTAAAATAATAAAATAAATACACAATAAATTGAGAGCCGTTGTAACTCAAGAGGCTATTCACTCGCTGTGAATTTCACAGTAGGCAAGCCACACTTGATGTCATTAAGTACGCTGCAGTCGGAAATGACACATACAGGCAGCAGCATCTTTCTTATAATACTTTGATCAACAATACCAACTAGATAACGGGTCACGTACAAAATTGTAGCTAAATACTGCCCGCGTGAATATAAACTTAAACAGCTACATCTGTTTACTAAAGAAATGAGCCAAAAAATTAAAATAGTTTTAAGTTCAACCTAATTACAACCATCGTGTATGGTAATAAAGTCACAAATCTTACGAACATTAGTTACAAAAATAAGAGCTCAAGTCTCATGTGCGCTTTTGTTAACTGAGACGGATTTCTTGCGCCGACCCGACATCTAGTTGGTATTATTGATCGAAGTTATAATAGCTCAAAATAATAAATAAAAACTGTGGCTTTTTGGAAAGCTTAACAAGATCAATTGTGAAATGTGAAAGAGGCGAGAGAGGTGTGTCAGGATTGCACCAAAATGAAGTCCATAGTCTCTGTCTACCCCCCCCCCACGTGACGGGCGTGAAATTTTATGATTATAATGTCTGCATGTATAAGAAATATTTTAAGAACACATGAAGACCGCCAATATACACTGAAGCAGAAATTATATAAGTTCTGTATCCAGCAGTGGGACACAAAGTTTGTAACAAAACCTTATAAAGCTTCATTAAAGCTAATAATATTACATTACCATATAATATAATTGTTGCTTACTTTGCAAACACCTCTTATAAGTGGTGTGCATGCTATAAATCCCAGCACCTAAAGCTATCTAGTACCACAGTTTAAAGATAGTCTGACAGTTGCGAAACGTCTTTGATGTCAGGCGATACCGTTGCCCGCCTCAGATGAAGTAAAAAAAGGTAGATACAAAACGGCCTTTGTTATCAGTGAATTCAAAAAACTCCGCTCATATAAATAAATACACGCGTTCACGCACACATGCATCAAACTACGCTCATTTTCGTCAGTACTTCCCGTGGCGTCGTGTAGTAAATTTGCCTTCAAAATACCGTCCTGTGTAATCAAATGGTGCAAAAACAACACTAAAGTAAACAAAAAGTCTGAAGGAATATCGTTTCACACGTAAGCACTTATTTATCTATATTTTACTTTGTCATTCCAACACAATTCTAAAGGTTATTCGAAGCACGAATGTTAATGTTGGTCATTGGGTGCGTTTGGCAGAAAAAAGCGCTAGCAAGCGCTTACAAGCGCTGAAATAGTTTTCGGCCAGGACACGATTACTAGTTCAGTAGCGCTGACACAATCCGCCATTTTGCTTATTTAATTTGTTTGTTTTGAAGTAAAGTTTATAAGTTGTTTTGTGCAATATTAGTTTTAAGTAATATAATAACGTGAATAAACATATACATGTTATTAAAAATTCAAAATTGGTAACTTTTTAATATGAATACTTTACAAACATATATTTAAATTAAGTTAGGTTCCTCGGTTAAAACTAACATCGTGTCCTGGAGGAAAATAGCTACTTACGATTTGACAGCGTTTACCGCTTACGATCGCCATTTTGCTTACAAGCGCTTGCTAGCGCTTTTTTCTGCCAAACGCACCCAATGTCTTGTACATACAACTTTATAATTTGTGTGTCAATGGTCCGAGATTACGTAATGGGAAAGTGTTGCCAGTAATTCTTATTTCTAATAGTCCAAGATTTGGGTAATTAATTTTAGGTTGTCACAGAACTATATGTTGACATTTTTTTTTAAAATTACGTGTTATTATGTTACATCAAATTTAAGTGAAGGTAAATATTTAATTTTTAACTCATTGATATTTTTCTTTATTTAAATTCTTGAGTACTTACAATTTATTTTATTATCAAAATATGTTTATGATTTTAGGCTTCTAACAAATATTTTAATAAGAGATGAATGGGTAGCTGCTATAAGACTGAGCCGAAATGAACCACAATAGCAGCCATCCTCATCTAGTGTGATTTGTTCAGACCATTTTGATGAGACTGACTTGTACGACACAAAACGTGGACTTCGCCGAGTTCTCAGAACAGGATATCCAAAAAAGGTATTTTAACCGACTTCAAATAAATGAGGTTCTTTCTTTCTTCTCGTATGTGTTATAATATAATTATGTGTGTTTGCGATTTTCTCAGTATGTATTCAGTATATAATTCGTTATTAACTATTTTTGTTTAATTATGTATTTTTTCGACAGTTTTTTTTTCTATTGCAGAAACTATTTCCGCCTTGCAATTCAGTTCTCAATGATGTATTATCGCCAAGTATATCCTCTCCATTTGTTCCTGTAAGTATGTAGTAATCAGGCGCATAACATTTTTGACATATGTAACAACCACATTCCACGTGTGGACATCGACTTTTTAATGTCAAACGTAATGTTCATCATTACCAAATATTGTATTTGTTGTAGGACTTACCAATCTCGTCTAGTGTGGTAATTGACAGTAACTACGTTGTATCGCCAAGTACATCTTCTGCGGCTGTTGTTGTGAGTATCAGACAGTGCAATCGTGCGTAATATAATATAAAATTTTATTTTCATGTTTATCAAAAACGAATACTGTATTTGTTGTAGGACTTACCAATCTCGTCTAGTGTGGTGATTGACAGTAACTACGTTGTATCGCCAACTACATCTTCTGCGGCTGTTGTTGTGAGTATCAGACAGTGCAATCGTACTGTTATACCCCGTTTTTGTTAGCCTTATTGCTGCACTGCCCCTTAATAATGTCGACTTAGCCTTAAGGTTCAGTGAATATAGCAGTGGAGCAGTTCGGCCAAGACAGTCTGCTTCCATCTTCGAACCTGCTCGGTTGTCTACGGACCTTAGTTAATTTCCAACCAGTTTGTAATATTTAATTCATTTATACTCAATTAAATTTCAGTGTTAAATAAATCTTTTTTTTTAAAAACCTATTAGCCCGTCTCCGTATAACATTTTGGTGGCAGCGGTGGGATACGGAAATCATCAGTGCCAAGTGAAGTGGAACCGCTCAGCAGACTCGCTCCGTATCCTAAATCTTATAAAATTAAATATTATCCTGTGTCGTCCCGGCGCGTCCTAGTGAAATAAATATAGTGCAAGTGCTATACCCGTCGCTACGGCCTGGACGTCCATCCATTACGGAGACCCAATTGATTCCTGGAAAGGAATCCACATAATTACCAAAGAAGAGCCGCGATTGCATCCTGAACCGCAATCATCAAGGAAATTAGCCTGAAAACATCCATTCTCATAAAATAAATATCGTCAGATATTTATTATTATATTATCAATAACTAGAATTCATCGAGTTCCGTTCCAGTGCGCTAGAGAAGACGCGCCTATCATCGGAATGTTCCCGCTTATCGTCGCAGCCGTCGCCCACGCATTCTTAATACTGTGAGTCGTTGGTCATTGTTTTGTCTAGACTGTATAAGCCAAAGTTTCTCAACCTTTTATGTTCCTTTGTTCAGTTGAACTTAAATGTTTTAAAATTTATTAATATTCTATTTTTGTGATTGTTCTATATTATTGTGTGTTCTATTCTGATTATTTTATATTTTTTTTGTGTTCTTTTGTATTTGTTTTGCATTATTGTTGCGTTTTCTTTAGATTTATACATATTTTATTATGCCAAAAGTAGTTAAAGGGGAAGAAGCCAGTCTAGCCTTCGAATTCTCAGAACCGGGTGTTAGCGACGCCCCGAAATCCACCCCAGCTACTCCAAGAGTCACTAAGGCCAGCATTGCAACTACTGCAATGACCGAGATGGATTTGAACACCTTATTTAAGTTCATTAAAACATATGACGGTAGTAGGGAGACCGTAAATTCTTTCATAATTAATTGTAACAATGCTTACGAATTAGCCTCAGAGTCTCAGAGACAAATTTTATTTAAATATATCATTTGCCAGCTTCAAGGTAAAGCGGAAATTGCCTGCTCTATAAAAGAGTTTAAAGATTGGGAACAGCTCAAAGACTTTTTAAAGACACAATTCAGTGAACGTAAACACTACGCTCACATTCTCACTGAATTACAGGAGAGCAAGCAAAATCCACATGACAGCGTTAACCAATTCGCACTCCGTATAGAGACCTGCCTCTCACAATTATTAACGGAAATATCCCTATGCAACACCAAAGCGAAAGAGTTACCAGGTAGGGTTGCGGCCATGGAGGACCTTGCTCTGCATCATTTTCTTATGGGGTTACACCCCCGAATTTCAAATATCGTTAGATGTAGGTCTCCAAAAACGCTTAACGAAGCCATAAATTTAGCCATCTCAGAAGAGCGAATCCAACAGAGCCTTTATAAACGACCACCGCCAGAAACAAGGTATGAACAAAAACCTAAACAAAATTTTGTTAAATCTTTTAATTCCAAACCAACCATTCCTCAAAAATACTCACAGTATCCTAATATGAATCAACAGAGCTCGCCTAACGCCTTCTGCCGATATTGTAAGACGGCGGGGCATGACATTATGGCCTGTAAAAAACGGGAATATGCTAATAACCGATTTAGGTACCAAAACAATCCGTCAACCTCCCAATTCCAGCATAGGGCACAACCAAGGGTTAATTTTATAGAGCAGCCCAATCGTGAGGTCGACCAAGAGGAATTCCATACTTTACATAATGATGAGCAGTTTTTAAACGGTCAAGAGTCTCGTCACGGTGTCGCCCGAGACTAAACCCAAAAGCCGGCACCAACCATTCCTTCCTCATATCCAAGGACCACAAGGGTAACCAGCCCCAAGCAAGAGTCCATCAATCCAAGGACCACACGGGTAACCAGCCCCAAGCAAGCGTCCATCAATCCAAGGACCACATGGGTAACCAGCCCCAAGCAAGAGTCCAATATCCCAAGGACCACACGGGTAACCAGCCCCAAGCAAGCGTCCATCAATCCAAGGACCACATGGGTAACCAGCCCCAAGCAAGTGTCCAATATCCCAAGGACCACAAGGGTAACCAGCCCCAAGCAAGTGTCCAGCTATCCAAGACCCATAACTCAAAAACTCCTTCTCCAACAAGTAAAATCAAAATCTATGAAATAAATTTAGACACAACTAAAAGGTTGTTACCGCATGTCCTGCTAGATTCATCCGTCACGGATATCCCATTGTCTCTGCTTGTTGATTCAGGGTCTGCCATATGTTTGCTAAAACAATCAAGTATCCAGGGGAACCTCAAATTAATAAAGGAACCTATCAAACTTAAGGGCATAGACCCGGGCGATGAACCGACAACCACAGAGGGATATTTTCCGTTAAAATTAAAATTAAATAAAACTATATCCGCGTCATATAAATTCCACGTCATAGAAAATATCAACTTACCATATGACGGTATCATAGGCTCTGATTTCCTAACCGCGTTTGGATGTAAAATTGACTACACAAACGACACCCTCAAAATCGGTAAATTAGAAATAAAATTGCATTTTGTTGATCCATTTTATATTATTCCACCACGCACCGAAACTGTCATTGAATGTTCGGTTTGCGATACTGATCTTAAAGAAGGGCTTATCACGGACCAACACATATCAGAAAATTTACTTATATCCAATTGCATTGTAAAAATCAAAGAAAACAAACGCGTTAATTTAACCATAGCTAATACTTCAGAGTTTCCTGTCAACCTAAATCCAAACTTAAATCTCAAAATTGCACCTTTACACTCTGACGCAGTCCAAGTGAACACAAATCACTCTAACACAATCAACAGAACAAATGACGTAATAACCTCATTAA